CGGGGAGGAAGAATTGAGCAGAATTATAGGCCGGGATAATTAGTCCCGGTTAGGGGTCCAAACCGGGACTAAATATTAATCTTTATTCCCGGGGCATAACCCAAACCGGGACTAAAAGCTTTAGTCCCGGCTGGTATTACCAACCGGGACTAAAGGTAAACCTTTAGTCCCGGTTGGTAATACCAGCCGGGACTAAAGATCCCTGCCTCATGGACGATCATAGGCAGGGACCTTTAGTCCCGGTTGGTATTACCAACCGGGACTAAAGGGTCCTTTAGTCCCGGGGGCAAAAAATGCCGAGGCTAATGCTAAATTGGGACATCGTTCTAAAGTCTGTTCTCTAGTAGTGCTTAGCCGGCTATGGGAGCAGCCCAATGAGTTAACCTACTGTTTTCTCTGTTCCAAATTATAGTTTACTTCAAATTTATCCTGATTCAATCTTTTCTAGCTTTAACCATGTTTTCTACAAAATATATTAACATCTACAAAGTTCAAGTAAACACACAACGAAAATAGATTCAACGGCATTTAGTGAAACTAATTTAATAATGTAAAAATATTGATGCATTTTACCTTGCGGCAGTTGAAATGATGGTGACTGCTCCCCCCTTCCACCCTAGCCTGCCGGAAGTCACCCCAATGCCAGCAGCCACTGCCCCAGCCATCTCCGCGGTCAACAGCGCCTCCAGCTCCACCAACTCCTCCCCTTTCCCCCACCCCACACAACCCTTCTTCCCCGGTTGAGGCTCCAAAGGCAAATCGAAGCTCATGCGATGATGGGAGGATGCACTATTGCATATTTCCTAATAACATATGGGTCTTGACTCATCATAGACAGGCATGTCGCACATCTGTGCGTAAGGGTCTGACATAGATTTGCACGTCTATGATGTGAGTAACCATAGACGCACATATAGAAGACCCACGTCTCCGATGTGAGTTATCAGAGACACATTTATGCATCTCTGATGTGGCTCATCAGAGACACATTTTTATTATCCCCATCTCTATTAGAAATTACACGTTTTTGACTGTCACCAGAGATTCACTTTTGAAGATCATTTCTATAAGAGCTTTTTACCTGTATGGCCCTAGAAAAAATACATCTTCCTTATATGACCTTTTTTATTTTAAACTTACTTGTATGGCCCCAAAAGGACATTTTCTTTCTTGTATGGCCTTCTGTCAAGTCTGTTAGGGTATTCTGTTAGTTTGGCCACTGGTTGATATGCGAAAGGTCTAAATTATCCTTATGCTCTTTCTGCCAATACCGCCGTGTGCCCGCATTCGACCGAGACCGAGCGAAAAAAAAACGATGGGGGAGGGCGCCGCCGCAGCCGCAGTCGGCTAGGGCGCCCTCGCCGCCGGGATCTCTGGCCTCGGATCGGTCGGATCCACCTCGTACTGCCCCCACTCCTAGCCTTGGTCGACGTGGGGGAGGCGCCGCCGCTCGGTTGGTGGAGCACGTGTGGCCCCGGCTAGTGGGCGACGCGGCACCAGACGGCCCCTCTAGCGGCTAGCCCGGTGCGGCCACCACCTTCAGTGCCCAGTGCGGCTCGGTAGTAGGCGGACTCCCCGTCTTCACCTGATCCAGAAGTATCTTGAGGTGAGCCTGCAGCTCTCATCTTCCTGCTGCTAATGTTGCTGTGCTTTTGATCTCTCCGAACTACTTTGCTGCCCATGATTTCTTGAACTAGGTCTATTCATAATTATAGTCAATCCGCTTCGAGCACTGGTTTGTCAGTGGATTTAATATCGATTACTAAATAAAGTGCCATGTAAAGCCTTATGCTTAGATTCAAAGAACACAATGTTAGTCATGATAAAAGCACACCTACACTAAGCATTTTGGTCGGATAATATTTTTTTTCTGTGTTCTAGATTTACATACAAGCATGAAAATCATCTGCCCAGAAGTTAAACTCAAAATGGAACCAGAAGTTAAACTAAAAATCATCTGCCCAAGAAAGGAGGAACGTCTAGAAGCTGTTCAAAGGAGAAACTACTTCGGTCTTCTTTTACTGCTGAGTTAGAAACTGGTTCAGTCTTCTACTGAGAATACGAGCCTGAGAAATGGAACCGAGTAGTGTAGCTGGTTCAGTCTTCTCTTATTGCTACTGGGCAAAGTCTGCACCATTTTCCCTTCTTATTGTCCAATCCTTTTTGGAATGAGTATAAGTCTGCTCACAATTCACAAGGAGTCAAGGACAACATGCATGTATGAGTAGTTTATCTGTCAACAGTCATGCAGATGGTGCGTAATGCCCGTTTTTTAATAATAAATGTTCTAAACAGCATTATTCTTGGAAGTACCTGACTCCCTTAGCTATTCAGGTGGTGTATGTTCCTGATTGATGAATGAAATTGGCCCCAAAATAATATATCTGATTATGTGAGACTGAAACAAGAAGCAAGAAGCAAGACGGGACTTACTAGCAGCCCTGCCATGAGCACGCGAAGCAAAAGAAGGCTCAGCTTTTGATATGTGATATGCATATTAAATTCACTCGTTGTATATGAGACCAATGTATATTTGAAATCGCACTTTTGTGTGACCTTATTTATGTAAGATTGAAACTATGATGGATTTGTCAACAATTTATGTATCAACTTATGGTTAATTGCAATGCATTTGTGCAATTTTTTTATGCATTTGATAAGCTCACTTTATTACAATGTATTTGTGTACTTGATTATGTGTCTTATTATATACTGTTATATATGAACGTATTTGTGTAATATTACTCCAAATGTACGACAGACAAACAAAACTTTGCATTTTATTTTTTTCGTCAGAGGTATAATGGTCATTTTACCCTAGACTTAACACCGTCAAGTGTCAAAATCGGATGGAAGGCCATAGAAGGAAGAAAATTTCGTTTTGGGGTCATACTGATAAGTTCAGAAAAAATAAGGCCATACAAGAAAGATGCATTTTTTTCAGGGCCATACACATAAAAAACTCTTTCTATAATAGTGAGAGTATTAGCTTTCTTCCCTGGAGTAATGGGTGTCAATTGTCATAGTGATGAGCTGGAAGTGGTAGCACTACCAATTAAGCAACTGGTTGGCAAAACCACAGTGCTAGGGGATGTGGAACTTGCACGCTATTACAGAAATGATTTTTTGCTAACGGCCAAAAACGATCTTCAGGGTCGGTTTAAAAACCACTACTATGCCATCAATTGTAAAAGAAGTGATTTTCTGGGGCGGTTTTAAAACCGATGTTAGAAATTGATTTTTGGGGATGGTTTTGTTAAGAAAGCCACCCTTTAAATTCGATTTTCAGGGTTTCCCTAATTTTTTTTCAGAATTTTTAAAAGTAATTTAGAATTCTATTAAAATAAGACAAAATATTTTTGATGTGCTCGGAAGCCCAGAGGACTGATAATAGCTTGCAAGATTTTGTGTAGACACTGGGATTCAAACCTACAACCTATCACCTCACGCATTCTATCTCCATCCACCACACCACAAAGTCACTTGTTACTAATCATATGATGTTATCTATTTGTACTAATATGTACTAATCTTATAATTAATATTTTCACTCGTAAACAATTTTAAATGAGAAAATTTTCAACTACAAAGTTTAAGGTCTCGTTGAGCACTACAACCTTGATATAGGATATTTCTGCATTCAAGGACATTTGAAAAATTCAAAATTTTAAAATTTGAAATCCGAAACTTAATATATATATCTTGGCTCCTAAACGATCTTGGATAAAAATTTCATCAACTACAAAGTTTTAGATCTCGTCGAGCTCTATAATTTTGATATAAATTTTGTCTTCATCTGACTTCATTTGAAAAAGTTATGAATTTATTTGTGCTCACAACCATGCCTTTGAAAATTGATTTTTAGGGGTGATTGACATAACCAACCATGCCTGAAAATAGATATATTCTTAGTGACGGTTTACTTAATAAACCGCCCCTAGAAATGTATTTCTAAGGGCAGAATATAAGCTACAGTGCTCCCTGGGATAGTTACAAACGGTTTGCTAAGTAAACCGTCCTTGAAAGAAATAAGAGGCGTCCGTAAAAATTATTTCTGAACTTGTGGCAGTAGTTTGATGGTTTTGTAGTAGTTTATCCATTTTTTTTATTTTAGTGTATTCTCAGTGTGCGGTCCCTAATCTTGACGAATTGGTAACAAATAGTATCTTCTAAGAGCTCAACAGTGGTTGAAACATCAAGCTAACAGATATAGGCAAGTGATGGAATTCAATCTCGGTGATTATACTGGGTTCAAAAGAAGCTACAGCCCTTTGCTCAACTCTCTGTAGCTTATATAATGCTATAGCAGAAGTTGAGCCACCAATACTTTATACTTTTCAGCCACCAATACTTTATAGTTTGGATCTTACTTGGTGTTGGTGCTACAGAAACTTGGTCCGGTGCCCATAATGATTCCAGCCATGTACTCTCACTGATTCATGTATTCCAGCTCAGATGATCTCTTTCTACTCGTCCATTCTCTACCCAGATCAGTAACTGCTCATACTATATACATATTTTTTTCTTCGTGGAAATATATCTGCAGAGTACTTATCTGGAAATGAAAAATGATACAAGACCAATGTGTAATGAAGATTGCTTTGCAACTTTTTTTCTTTGCAGGACATTATTGTCTTTTGCAATTGAGATAAGCTTAGCATTCAAACATTGGTTCTCCAACTTTGTTTTGTCCCAGGCCTCTTTGAAAAGTCAGGACTGGATTGGCTAATTAACTTGAAGAGAGTTGCTCCGGCAAGGATAGAAATGGCTTGAATGTCCAAATTAGTGCGATGAACATTATGAGGTCCATAAGGAAGAACAACATTTGGTCACCTGCATATTAAGTTACGTTTGTCAATAAGAATCTTTTTCATGCTGTACACCTCTAGTTCAAGTGAGCGGGTAACATAGAAATCTTTTAAATAAAATGTTTCCAAACAGTGAATTTGGTCTGCTCGATGTTGTGATGACCACGTGATTAAAAATATAGTGGCCACAGTCTAATGGACAAAGTTGGCCTGGCCTGTTGGTACCCTCTGCCTGCCGAATCCTGGCAAAACCAACGACTTGTAGCAGTAGGATATGACTACCTTTTCGAAAAATTTGTGGAAGGGTAGTCTAGTTACTCAAAATTGTTGTATAAAACAATATTTTTTGTATAGTAGTTTCATGGAAAAATATGGCCCTTGAGAACTCATTTTTGCACCTACTTTATAAATGCAATTTCAAAAATCTTATTTCTTAGTCAGTTTTATAACAAAATATATTGTCAGCGCTTACCTGGAAAGAAGAAAGCATGTTGACGTTTCTGCACCCATGAAAACCTGCATTGACAAATCACTATAATTTAAACCCATGACAACTATCAATTGAATCATTATATTTAATATTGCAGGTAGATAAATATTTCAGTACTAATTAAAACTCTTGTCAATGCATTTGACTTCAGGAAAAATATGTAGATAGAAAAGACACACACTGGACTGCATAAATTTCCTCACTGAACATATCGACTATGCAACTATATAATAATTGTAAAAGATGACATATACATCAATGACAACCATGCTTTATATATATGCATTCACACTAAGGAACTATCGTAAAAGTAAGTCTGTGTCACAACATTAGATATAAAGGTTATTCAAAATGGACAAAAATTGTTAGCTACTACACTAAAGCTAAACTAAAACAAACATAAAAATATTTTCATCATATTTTCTTTTTACATATAAGTTAAATTTGGGTCATATGGTATTCACACACCATGTTCATATTTTTATATTATTGTATTTCCTTTTAAGCAAACCTTGACATGTATGTGCTAACTTTTACAAAGGGAATACTCCCAGTCAGCTTGATAATCTAAAACAGAGATGAACACTTAATTTTAGCAAATGACTAATTAAAATTTCACTTACACAATACCCCCTCCAACTGGAGCAAGTGTTTTTGAAAACGACAATAAAGTAGTTGCTAAGCCATTTTCTGTAGCTCTTTGATATTGAGTCTGTGTTGAATGCATAGGAAAAATATCTCAAAAAGTTGTATATGTAAGTGAACTGGTATAAATGCAACAGGATGTAAATGCACATACCACAGAATTATTTTGAAGAATTAATGAGCATGTAATAATTGTAACCTAGCATATGTGTGCAAGAAGGAATGGTGTTAGTAAGAGACTGATCAATACAAAGCTTGATATAGAAAACACAGAATCCAACTGAACCAACTCTTACAATGGGAAAAAGCAAAAGTTGGATACTTCATTAAATCTTTGCATTCTAACTATATACAAAACTTATTAAAGTTCCATTTCAATATGGTTTATCGTATATACACTAGAATTATAAAAATAAGACACTTATTATGGATGGGAGAAAGTCGGAACCTGTGGAACATTACACTACACAGGTATCTTAGCATCCACATTTAAATATTCTAATAGAAGGGAAATAGAATGGTTATTAAATTAGGGCACTTACGACAAAATTGGCTTTTAGTGCTGATGCAACATTTAGCACTATAGACAACCAAAATCCTGAGAGATGTGTCATGGATGGATAAGTAAATAGAAGCACCATAGATGAAAACTGCAAGATCATCATAGCATGTGAAATTAGTGAAATGGAATTTTAATTATCAACAGAAACTATAAAAGGCACGTTAATTTGTACTCACAGCCACGACACGGGATGTAGTGACAGGTCCCAAAATTTTCACAATATGAGGAAAAATAAAAGTTTGATACAGAAGAATGCTGCCACCTGCAATTGAAGATGGAATATTTCATAACTATAAGTGGTGCAATGCTATAAACTAAAAACAATCATTGTTAAACATGTTTCTAAGTCAAATCTAAATGGTTTCATCTTAAAAAACTTGGCAATAAAATTTCATCATTGCCTGCAAAATGAGAATAATTATGTTAACCATGAATTTTACACTACTTAGCTTGACACACTCTCCAAACTTGCCATATGGTAAGACATTGAAATTCTTCTGTTCATATGGAAACAGGCCATGATAGTTGCCTCGTTATTCCGGGCATCAAACAATATTTATATGATAGTTGGAGCTATATAAATGGCTGCAGTTGAAGAATACTTTGGATACCTTGATTTCCAATGTTGAGTTAGTGTTTGTTAATGAACCTCAGACTTCCTAGCAATGCCTTATTTTATTTTCAGAGTATAGGACCACTTGTCCAAGACATTCTTCTATAAATCTAATTTTAGAGGGGAGAGCTACAGAGGTCCGCATATATAAAGATTAGCAAATTTTTAGAGGCATAAGCAAGAACCTCTATAAATCTGATTTTGAGAGGCAGGTCTATATATGTGGCCCACTTCTGAAAATGCTGAAGTCCACATAACAAAGCAAAGCCTAGGTCATGTGCTCATTCTGTTAACATATCCGTTGATGCTGCATGAGGCGTGCCTGATCTACCCAACTCTTTTGGTAGCATGAGCAAAAACATATGTGCTGGTTCATGATCAACAATGCCCTAGCGAGCTCCTCCAATGCAGCCACCTCAGTGCTGGTGAAGGCATTAGATGTTGACATGTGGTGCCACCGCCAACGCAACGACAACGGTTGGACGACATTAGAGCTGTTTTTTAACCAATTTTTATAGATGAGTTGAGTGGCACCCTTATCTCCTCTTGAGATACCAACTTCATAGTCAGCATATGGCCCAACCTTTGAAATCATGTGTGACTTACATGGACCTTGTAGTTGAGGAGGCTGAGCACCCCACCTCCATAATTTTGATTTATTCATCTCTGGAAAGACTAGTAGTACTTCTCCCTCTTATTGTACCTCTCAAGAAGAGAGTCCATTCCATCAGGGGTAGCACCCTCGAAGTTTTATAGGTTGGGCTGATCTAGTTTATCTGCTCTGTGTATCATCACCAAGTAGCATGGGGCGACATTGTCACATGTGCATCATCAGGCAACACAAACATCACATGCCATGTTGTGTTATATCGTTGTAGTGGTGGGGCCGAGCCCTGGTGCCACCATCAACCATGTTGTGTCATGCCTCACTCGGCTGCACTGTCGGTACGGTCACATTGTGGTCTGGTACGCTACGTACATGCTACTATGGTCTGGTACGCTATGTAGATGCTACTGTCGTTTTTATCTATTAGAGATCATGTTGCGTTGCCCTATTCACCAATTGTTCGATGCTCACTCATGAACCCAACCCACTGATAATGAGGACACTTCTGATCAAGTCAACTTCAAAGTCGCTACCTATAAAAGAATGATGCCACACATGCTGGCGGTCCTCCTTCAAACACAGGCTCTAGATCCATGTTCGTACACTGCTAACACCTTTTGACATCATCACTGATGTTCCTGATGGATGAAGGTGTGAACTTTCATTGACGTGTTCAAGGAACCATGGTGCTCTTCACCATTCAATTGGGTCACTAGTAAAAGCCCTAAGTTTGGTTTTGGTAATTGAGTGACAGCTAGTGGACTAATGTTTTCAATGAGTTGTGATTGAGCTAGGGTCCACATGAGGTGATGAGCAAGGCTAGGAGATGGTGGAGATGTAGATCAAGCCATATGGAGCAAGGCTCAAACTTGGAGAGAAGAAGGAGATGAAAACAAGACGAAGGCAAGGGAATATGCTAGTGGTTTTCATTTTACCGGCTAAGATGCAATAGAGTTTTAGGATAGATAGCCATACTATTAAGAGGGGAACTCTAAGGCGAAGATGATTATCTAGTGGCACTCGGTTTGAACTAACTTTGCATATTCATTGTACCTATTGACATGGTGAGAAAGCAAGTGAAAATGCTTTCAAAAAGCTAACTCAATGCTTAAGGGGTGGTTTTCAAGTTTGGAACACATTTGGAGTTAGTGCATTTGAAAATAATTTAAGAGAAGTGCTTGGTACAGATTTTTTGTACCCACCAAAAATGTCCAGTGTTCTTCTGGGGAAGCACCAAAGAAAGCACTGAGTGTTAAACCCTAATGAGCTAATTTGTTCACGCTGTTAGGTAGCAACTGGAATTGTCCAGTGGTGTCGTGCCTGGGGCATCAAAGAAAGGCCTGCATAGGGGTAGTGTGCGAGAGATTTAAAAGATCCACCAGACTTCCCAGTGGGGGCCACCAAAGTTTTACGATGAGCCCCTAGAGCTCTCGAATTGGGGGAATAGAAAGTCTAGACCCTGTCGAATTTCTCCGGTGATGGCTACCGGAGGACCTCCAAAGGAATGTTCAGTTGACCATTGGACCATGAGCTAGTCTCAGACCAAGCCTATGGTAGGCCACTAGAATTCTGCAGTGGTGACTCCACTAGTGCACCGGAGAAGGCGCGCTAGCAATGGCTAGATCGACTCAATCTCAACCGTTAGATTTCATTATACCTTTCTCTGGTGAGTCTTTTCCGATGGTCACTATAGATTTCTAGTGACCCTGCAGAAGCTATTTCTAGCCAGCTCGAATGGCTCCATTTGGGGGAGCATATATATATGCGGTGTGCTCGGGATTGGAGGCTCTCTTGGCATTCTAACTAATAGACACCTCCCTTGATAACTCAAGAACACTTCCCACTCACTCCCTGGCTTAGAGATTGATCAAAAGTGAGATTGGAAGAAGATATAATGCATTTTCCTAGAGAGTTTGCATCTAGTGGCATTAGTTCATCATGGGTTGCCGGTTTGTTTTTACTCTTGGTGGTTGCTGCCACATAGATGGCTTGGAGTAGAAGTGGATCGTTGAGCAACTTGTGGTGATTGTTTGGTGTCTCTAGTTGAGTTGGTTGTGAGGGGTATTGTGCTCACTCCATGAGAGATCACGAAGAACAACTGTAGTGGAATGCTCATGGCTAGTCAGTGTGCTCTTGGTTGATTGACTTCTTGAGGCACACATGCTTGGGTCAAGCTTGAGAGGCTTGTTAGATTGTGAATAATCACCAAAAGACCCACCTCGATGAAGACGTAGGTTGCCGGCAAGCAACTAAACCACGGGGATAAATCTTATGTCCCTCTTGCCCTCAGTGGTTTGCTATCTACCTTGTGCTTTACTTATTGTACTTAGCTTGTTGTGTTGTTGCTTGTGTAGCTCCTAGTTTATAGAGGCTCTCTAGTTGACTAATGTAGCTACTTTAGTTGTTTTCTTGCTTAGCTCAACTAGGGTAGTTGCTAGCCTCTTATGTGGTTGACGTGCTCTAGTGGTAGTTCGCCTTGTTACTAGAATTGTTTAGGAGGCTTGCTTTGCTATGAGTAGGCTAGGCAAAGTAGTGGCTATTAGGATTGTGTTTTTATTTAACCACTTTGCTTTAATTTGTGCTTTTGTGTACAACTTTTTTGATAGGATATTCAACCCCCTCCTCTAGCCAACTAGATCCTTTTCAATGGCGTGCTGCAATCATCAGTGAGAAGCCTTTGATTGTGTGTACTTGTGTGCCTCTATTGATGATTTTGACCTACTCCTCCCTGCACAAGTTGAAATATGTCCACCTCGACCTCGGTTACTTTGGCAATAAAATGGGCTATCATCTGCATGAGCTAATTCTCAATTCCTAATCTAGTCGCAGCATCTATAATATGGCTGTGAGAGATGCCAGTCTTTGACTTCTCTATTCAGACCATTTGTGATGCTCGTGCTATGAGTGTGGGGATGTGAAATTATAATACATTTAGTAGTTAAAATATTGTAATCTGTTACGCAAATATGTATCCAAGAGGCACCTTGCCCTCTAAGTCCCCATCCTCTATATATACTGCCGGAGAGGCTCATCACAAATATATCACACGTGTTATACCAAATATACTAAGATTTTATCAAGAATAGCAAATTTATTAATAACATGGTATGGTTGATAATAATTTTTAATTATACCTTATCTCAAAAAAATATTTATATACCTGTAATTGCAAATACTTGACCAACATCCTCAGATAGTAGATTTAGTCCGCCATAACTTCTGTCACTTTCAGCCCATAGAGGAAACAACTGCAATGTTATTTAATCTATTAGTGGACAGATGCTAATTTCATGGTAAAATAGCTTATATCTCTTTCAAAAATTTCATAATATTCAGAAAAAAATTCAAAACTCCATTATTTGTTTCAGACAATAGCAATCTGCACAAAATGATAAAAGTAAACAATGATGAGAAAGGGAAAAAGGATAAAATAAGGAATTATCACAATGTTGGGATGCATTCTTCAATCCTCTCAATGTTAAGGCGACCCCTCCATTTCAAATTATAGTACACTTTAGTTTTGTTCTAAGTCAAACTTCTCTATTTTGACCAAGTTTTTAGAAAAAAATATAGTAACATGTACAAGTTAAAAATAAATGCACTATCAAAACATATTTCATGATGAACTTAATGAAACTGATATAATGTTGTAGATAATGGTGATTTTTTCATAAACTTGGTCAAAGTTAAAGGAATTTCACTTAGGACAAAGTCAAAGTGAAATATAATTTATGAATATCAGCGGTAATATGTACAGTAAAATAGCTAAATATTGTTCGTATTTAACTGATTCACACAACTGAACAACAACACATTTTAATTAGTGTTTGACTTATTTTTAATCTAAATAATAGAGAACTATTGAATTATCTCTATTTTTACATTTATATTGAGACCTCTAGAAGTGCACAATTATTATTGTCAGATATCTTCAAATTTTTGTAAGGTACTACAGTTTTTCAAGAAAAACATTTTATTTCTGAAACATGATATTGGTTGTAGTATATATAAGAGAAATGAATCAGAACGGATGTGCATGCTGGAAATAAAATGGGATGGCAGCTGATGCTTCCAAACATGGAATAGAAACTAGAGATAAATTATTTTCTCATTAAATAGCTTTTGCCATAGGCTAATCTATCTTCTCTAGCTCAATTTCAGCCTCTTCAATAAAGGTTCAGTACAACTGGTGAAAAATATCTCCTTATGTATATAGTACTTACGTAAGTAAAAAAGTTGTATCCATAAAAAGGGTTATTAAAATGTGTTTAGTAGAGAGGATAACTATCTTATTCTGAAATGATATCTTTTTCATATACAATATCAATATTGAATGTATATAAATGAAAATGACAAATCTATATGAAACTGTAAAATTATACCTCCATATATGTCATGTCATCAAAGCCAGCGATACAAAAGAGAACAATAGAAGACATTAATGGCCAATTTTTAAACAAGTTCTTATTCATAGTCAAAGTGATATGTTGCTCAACATTCTCTTCAGCACCAGCCAAATAGCCATTAATAGTCTTTGTTGCTTGATCTTGCTCTTTCTCAAGTTTGTGTGTATGCAATGTCTCCTGAAACAAATTGGTAACACTACCTTTAACCAATGTTATCCTAACGTTAAATGGTAAACAGTCAATCACTTGCTGTTTAGCCATTATCTAGGCTAAACAAGTACTTAACCAGACAAAACAATCATTTAAACACGATAAATGGCCAATTTAAAGGAAATGGTGTGTAAATGGACTAAACGACCATTTAGGCGAATAGTCCTTTTAGTAGAAATAAATCTCTGAGCATCATTAGCTGATCAGTCATAAAAGTAGAACATAACACAAAAAATAAAAAAATGATAGGACTAAAAAATATCTAATAGAAGACCGGTCTCTGTAGCTCCTTCCATTCTTAATGATTATCTTATCCACCTAGCCATCCTACTAGCTCAAAAAAGATATTAGAATAACACTAGATCCTACGCATTACACTTGGAACTGGTGCAGAGAAAATATATTTGTGCTAGCTCTTAATAAGACCTGGCAGTGATAAACTACCCAAGTGTGATCCATAGCTCAGAGCTACTTTGGTGACTTTTCATAAACAATATGGTCCATCATTGTATGCTTGTAGTTTTGAAGCAAAGGAGAGCACACTCATTCTTTGACTACTATATGTAAATGATGTGCTAAGAAAGAATATTGGAGATGTACACTATACACAATACCTCATTCACTACACATACATGATCAACATATAGCTCAGAATGGAGCAAAGTTATCCTGATATGAGAATGGTTTCCTATACAATAACTATAAACTTACATACATTCCAACTTCCAAATGGAGGCTTATTTGTCATTTCCATTCTATGCTAGTTCTCTATATATATAAGAAAATAATAGCACTTGTTAACCACACGTACCTGGAGACAAACACAGCTCAACAGAATACCAAGGCAAAAGACCGTTATACATAAACAAGGTAAGAAATATGGAAACCTATTAAGTTTAAGAATTTGTAAGCTGAAGTAAAATTATATTAAATTAATTGAAGTACACGCATATGTTACACGATTACCTTCCAAACAATGAGTTGGCAGGAAACAATTTTGGATATTTCTCTGTTGGCTGTCAATTGGAAGAAAAGAATAAGAGTAACATGGATGCATGATTATGTGGGATATGAATAAAACTCCAAATTTCTAAGGATTTAACGAATACCTGTGCAAGATAGCCACCAATGGATGGCCCAAGAATAAGACCTATTGCCCATGAAGTGCTAATCTAATCATATAAAACAAGTATATCATTTTAAATGTTCCCTTTATAAATATATTGGAAATTAACCATACAGCTATGATATGTGTGTAGTTCTTACAAGTGACAATCCAATAGCATGATGCTCAGGTCGAGAAACTTCAACAGCATAGGCCTGCAAATATCAGTTGTCTTGTTAATAACTATACCATTGTTGGGTTCAATGAAGAAATTTAAGTAAATTGGTTATCAATATATATCATACTCTTAAGGTTCCAAGTAATCCATTCAAAGAACCAAGAAGAAATCTGGTAGCTAGTGCCATCCAGTAGTGGACACTCAGTCCAAACAAAGTATTGAAGACAAGCCTGATAAAGAAGTAATAGGCCACAAATAAGCAGAGATACAACACAAAAGACAATTCAAGATTCCTCACTACAGCTAGCTTTATTTAGTATTACGAATAAAAAATACTGACGTAGTAAAAATTCCAAACACAATAACTGGCTTCCTCCCAATACGGTCTGCTACCATTCCCCAAAAGGTAGAAGTTAAGGCTCTACCGAGCATTAATGAAGCACCTGCGAAAATTAAGAATACGTAGGCCATTGAAATACATAAGAAAGTTAGTGTTCTTTTTAGAAAGTTTTAGGACTAAAAGCAGTTAAATCACTAGGGAAGTTCTTACCTACGAAACCCGCATAGAATCCAATATCTTCTACTCGTTTGGCAACATGCAGGTCTCTTATCTGTTATCAAGAACAACCTCAAACTCAATGTGGACCATGTTTGCTAAAAAGAGCCAGTACAATACTTATATCATAACATGTCAATATGCAGATATGGAGTCCTATTATACTTCGCAGTAGGCTGACTAGAAAATTTACATGGTTCATGTGGAGGAGTGCACATACCACACTACAACTCAAATTTAGAGAAAAACTTGACCACACATAAATCTTTCCATTAGTACACTTGAAGTTGCTACCTATCAAAAACCAAACTTTGATGTCTGGAAGGTATAGTATGAGAATGAATATATGCTAATATATTTCAACATTGTTGATATTACAGTTCAACAAAAAACACATAAATGAAAGAATTATACAAGGTGGATACTACATGATCTAGAGCCGAGAAAGAACTCAGAAAGGCAATGCAATGCGCAAGGTGTCATTCATGCATGACGATGACATAAAGGCAGGCTGAAATTTGAACATATATACCATGAAGTATATGAATGGAAATATTGATGATATTGGCAAACCTGAAATTCAAAGGGCAAAAGAGTTAGCAATCAACATTCCGAACTAACAATAATATACACAGGAATGTAATGGGTAGCAACAGAATGGATGAAGAGATATGCAGAAAAATAGAAAGAAACAAGTATTTGTCATCTATAGATCAATTTGCTGCACATCATTATGCACATCATTATGAGTATTAACATATTTGTTCACTAATAGAACCCTGTGTTCTATGTGGAAAAAAAACAAATGTTTAACATATTTGTTCACATAGAACACAGGCTTCTAACACTAATAATAAGGAGCTAATTACTTATTCCATCGTCATCTATGAAATTCACGCTGGCAGAGCATGGAAAGAGTAATAACTTGGAACATACGAAGAACAAACTGAGTGATAAATCGTTCAGCACAGCCACAGATCAAAAGAACAAAAAAAATTGTAAATCGAAGGGAAAAAGAACATGGGAGGAGGGATTATGCATACAAACGACGAGGTTGATGATCCAGATGTGGAAGAAGCGCCAATATGGGATCCCCGTGCTCTCCGCCTTCTCGCGGTCGATGATGCACCCAGGGCAGCCATCGAAGTACACCGCCGTGGGCTGTTCCTGTTCCTCCAGCAACGGCACTGCCGCCTCGCCTTCACTGCAGCCGGCCATCTCGAATTTCTTCTCAGCAAAGCTAGCTACGTGCAGCAACTAGCTATAGCTCCCTTGCGATCTGGCCGCGCGGCAGAATAGTGCTGTGCGCAAAATGACGTGCGTTGCATGTGTTCCGGCATGGGAATTACCCTAGACAAATAAAGGACTCCAACCACTAGAAACTAAAGTCGCTCCACCTTTATTCGGTAAGGCACGTGTCCCTTAAACTTTTGGTAAGCACGTTGTCTGATATTCATAAATTAACCAATGCTTTCTTATACGTTAAAATTTCGAATGTTATCTTATCATGCTACTAGAGTCTAAAATAATTTACAGAAAAAGCTACATACATGCGCACAACGGACCCCAACTAATCCTTGGCGATAAAAGTTTACGAACGCACGTTGTCACCCTCATAAATTACTGCTACTGGCATCTATACTTTGTTGTGCAGTTGCACAAGCACAGCAAAGCAGTACATGCGGCCGTACGATCGTCTCTGTGTACTAAAGGACCTCGATGAGCTAACTGTCGGTAATGGTGGAATGTTTGCTAGGGGTTAAGATTCCATTAACGGTAGATAAGACATGCTAACGGGTCATTCTACTATGTGGACTAGCATGATTTGCCACTTTTCCATGCCTACATGGGCCAGGACAACCATGTCAGGCCCACACGCCCCGGCCCGTTGGTGCATGCACGCCATCACTACTCCACAAAAGATTTTTAGAGAGTCAAAATCGATTTACAAGGCTGTCACAACTCACAACCCCACAAATATTATAGCTATCGCAAGCCCTTTCTCTGAAGTACTTCCAATAAGTGCATCCAATGAGATTTAAACCTGACTCACGCACAACTTTCCCTACCACCACACCACGTACCTACTCGTGAAAATGTACGTGACGATGCTAGCATTTTTATATTAACATGAATGAATCCTATATTGAATATTTTGGCTTCTAAACAATCTTAAATGGAACAAAATTGCAACTATCACTACTACAACCAGCCTTTTTCGAGGCGGCTGTAGATGCTCTATAGAAGTGGCTAGGTCCAGCTGCCTCTAAGCTTAGGTCCCTAAAATAAGGGATTTGTAGAGGCGGCTAGTAACAACAGTCGTCCCTAGAAATCCATTTCTAGAGACGGTTGTAACTACAAAACATTTTTCTAAAAATATCCAAAAACCACAAATCAAGCCAAAACAAATAGCAAAAACTTTTTTTTAAATCCAGGGAGGCCCCCACCAGGAAGCCACATGGGGGGTTCAAACCTGCAACCTCAGGTCTTGCATGTAGCGGCCCTAACCACTCCACCCCAAAATCACTTGTGACTAAAGGGCACAACCATTCCCCTTGTATGCACTTCACCCGATTTTGAAATGAGTATTTGGGATAGTAAACGGATTCAAATGAACAAATTTTAGCTGCAAAGTTGTAGATATCGTCGAGTACTACAACTTTATTTTTTGTCGTTTCTCCATTCGAGGTCATTGGAAAATTTTGAATTTCAAATGTGAGAAATGATTTTAATTGAAAAGGTCATTCGAGGCCCTAACCACTCCATTCGAGGTCGTTTCTCCGTGGATAAATGATTTTAATTGAAAAGGTTATCAGCTAGAAAGTTGTATAACTCTTGGATATCTACAACTATGTATTTTGTCATTTCTCCATCCGAGGTTGTTGGAGAAAAATCAAATTTCAATATGTGAGGACTTTAAACTAAATTTTTGGACCATATATTAACTCAAATGAACAAGTTCTCAGTTCCAATGTTTATATCCTCTTGAGATCTATAAGTTTGGTTTCGGACTTTTCTCCATTCGAGATTGTTTGAAAAAAATTAAAAAATTGAATCTCAAAATGTGAGATCATCAAACAGAATTTGCTAGATTCGTATGATTTCAAATGAAAAAGCTGTCAACTATAAAGTTGTAGTTCTCGTCGAGGTATACAACATTGATATAAAGTTTGTTTTCGTTGGCGTGGAGGTGGCGGCGGAAGTTGGCGTGGAGGCGGCTGCCGGGCTCGCCCTGGAGCACTCGAGGCAGGATCTCCTAATAAGGCCAGCGAGGGGTCGGAGCGGGAAGACCAGAAGAGTTCCTAGAGGCTAGCCACCGACAGCGCACCCGGTCTGAGAGGTGAGAAGAGGAGAGCCCGTGTCACGGACTCGCGGAGTCGCGGTGGGGAATAGGGGTGACCAAGTTAGTTGATGGGACAGTAGGCCTAGGGTTATGATGTTGGCCTGTGGTGTGGGGTGGATGAACATATTGGCTTCATAGGGTGGATGAACATGTTGGCTATTTAATTAGCGGGCCAAACACCAGGCCATGACTATTTACCGGGTCAGGCTGTGCCGCTCAACAAGCTCAGGAGCGGTCCAAGTACGACCCTAGGCATCGGGATGTGCCGGCCTGGGGCCGCCAACCACCGGGCCATGCCATGCTCGTGCCATGCTTAAAAAATGGGCTTCGTGCCCAGCTACTAGGCCACAGGCCATCTGGAGACCTGTAATCATGTACCACGAGTCATTCATTCAGAAACATCGTGTACAGAATAGATAAATAACCTAAGATCAGAATGTCACAGCAAAAATAAGCTAAGATCAGAAGGGCACAGCAACAGCGAATGGACAGACAACTCCAGCTTTCTTCAACTTAACTAAAGCTAATTGTATTCAAGACAATATCACCAATTAATGTAGCTAATAAATATTTAAGAGAGAGAAATTGCAAATTGAACCATTCCAGTTTGAAATAAGAACAATAGAGAATATGGCCTAAAATCAAATACGTTTTTTGAAGTAACATGTTAGCCAATGCTTAAATTTTTTTGGTATCTTGTGTAGGGCATCAATTGCCTGCTACCCAGAACATTGGTCTTGGTTCGTGGCACCTTTAAAATTGGAGTCTCTTGCTACACGGCACTCTTAGAACTTTCAGCCATTTCTTGCTTCACCGCAGCTTCATAACCCTGCTTTTCATGCATCAAGGTAGCTTCCTTGGCCTCTGTGATCAATAACCCCAGTTTTACATCCACATCAGCCTTGACTCTACGGGCCCACACCATCTCGTTATAGACAGACATGCAGGTTCGCTTCAGAAGTATTCCATCATATTCAGATCCGTCACTCCTTAACTTACCAAAAGTTCATCTCTTGAGAAGTTCTGAAACCAACAAACAAGACCAATTACATAATGTATAGCGTGAACCTGCAAACAAGTTTACAAAATATTATGATTTACCAGATCGTCATATGATTCATCATCATCAGGAAAACATAAAATCTTCAAAGCTGTTGCAAGTTTCATTGTACTCCATCCCTCATAGTCTATGCCAGATCTCTCCATGAGACACCTACCGCAACTAGCCAAGAATGAAGAATGCTTGGTCTCACATAAATCACAGTCATACAAGACACATGCATACTTAATGATCTGTTCATTAACCTGGATACAAGGGAACATTGCATCATCAGTAACAGAAAGATGCAAAACAAAAAAACGTTTGACAACAATAGAATCAATAATATTGTTCAGTGGCAATAAGATAGATGACAGAGCAATAATGCAGAAAATATTTCAGGTCAGAGTACAGTAAAGCAGGTGATCTCACCATTTCTGGTGTAACATCATTGAAGCCATGACGAATCAGTACATTTTTCATGCCATGACTCATGTAAAGGCGTTCCTCCTTGCTCAGCTCAGAATCTTCAAGAGGCAGTAAACTCTTCAATAGATTCTTTATGCCCCACATGACTTCCAACACAGCATCTGATAGGACTTGATGTCCTACCGGCGTTGCTACGCAGGTTATAGGGGTGGAAGAGGGGAGGACATGGTCTGTACTCTCGACGTCGGCGAGGGGCCATGGCGGCGAGAGCTGCGGCTGCTGCTGCAGCCCTAGAGTTCACGTAGCGCTACAGTAACGTGGGTACTGTTCACGCAAGGGAGAGGGCAGGGGCGGCTGGCTCCCAAGGGAAGCCAGCAACTTAATTGTTGCTTTCTGCTTAATTCCAATCATCCACGATTACAAGTATTTATCCTTCTCTATAGATGCTATAATTAAGGAACTATATCTATCTCTAAAAAAATACCAAATAAGTGATAAATTGGGCCTCTAAGCCCCTTAACAGACCGGCCCCCTAGCCACTATTGGGCCTGCGCCTGGCATAGGGGATGCCGGTCATAACATCTCTCCCCACCTGCGCAAACAACTCGTCCTTGAGTTGGAAGTCGGGGAAGTGCTCGTGGAACTCGTCGAGAGGCTCCCAGGTAGCATCCTCGTCCGGAAGGCCGCGCCACTTGATCAGCACGCGCCAGACACTGTGGCGTTGCTGCGCCTGCAGCGCCTGCTCTGGTACCGGCAGAATGCGACCATCGAGGACGGGCGGAAGGGTGGCCGGAACAGCCGGGGGATCTCCGCGGTGCCGCTTCAGCAGCCCCACGTGGAAGACGTCGTGGACGCGGGCGCCCTCCGGCAGCTGCAGGCGGTAGGCGACGCGCCCAATGCACTCCAACACCTGGAACGGTCCTGCATAGCGAGGCCCAAGCTTGCATCTGGCACGGGGGTCTAGGGACTACGCTATTCTGTGTAATAGCTGCAGCCAGACCCAGTCGCCGACGGCGAACTCCAAGTCACGGTGCTTGGCGTCGTAGTACTTCTTGGACAGCTGCTGCGCCTATAGGAGGCGCTGGCGCACCTCGGCGAGGATCTCATCACGGCTGCGGAGGAGGGCGTCAGCAGCTTCCGTCCGGGCCGTCCCCGACTTATACGTCAGGATGGGCGGCGGGGGACGGCCATAGATCACCTCGAACGGAGTGGCGCGTAGGGTGGTGTGGTAGGAGGTGTTGTAGCAGTACTCCGCCCAGGCGAGCCAGTCCACCCACGCACGCGGGTGGTCACCTGTAACACACCGCAAGTACATGGCAATCACCTTGTTCACCACCTCGGACTGGCCGTCAGTCTGCGGGTGGAAAGCCGTGCTCATACGTAGCTTGACGCCGGCCATCCAGAAGA